AAAAAATTAKTATTATTATATTTTTAGTCGTAGTTGTCAGTATATTTATTTATTTATTTATTTATGTGGTGCTGAGGATCAAACCCAGGGCATYGCACTTGCTAGGCAGTGCTCTACCGCTGAGCCACAACCCCAGCCCCTTTTTTTTGTTTTCTTAGGAACAAGGCCTAAGTTGCTGAGGCTGGCTTTGAACTCACAATCCTCCTACCTCAGCCTCCTGAGCTGCTGGGATTATAGGTGGGCACCACTGCACCCAGTTTACAATTGAGTTTTTTTTTTTTTTAATTTTTTAAAATTTTGGTTTTTTTAAACAAAAATATGGACAACATGCCTTTATTTTATTTGTTTACTTTCATGGGGTGGTAGGCAAGCACTCTTCCATTGAGCTGCAGCCTCAGCTCTACAACTGACTTTTGTTTTGTCTTTGTGTTGGTGGGGATTGAACCCAGGGCCTTGTGCATGTGAGGCAAGCACTCTACCAACTGAGCTATGTCCCCAGCCCTACAATTGACTTTTAAATGCATCAAAATAATAAGACAGACAGATAGGTACATGATAAAGCAAGTGTAGGAAACATTATTGGTATAAAAACTGGGTAGGTATACAATTTCATTGTAAAATGTTTTCAAATTTTATCTACGTTTGAAAATTTTCATAATAAATAGTGAAAACATGTATACATCTAATAGAGTTTTCAACTACATGAAACAAAAATTGACAGAACTGAAAGGAAATAATATAATGATAAAAAATTTGGCCACAATATCCCCAATTACACTTGAATATTTTAATGTTCCACCATTCAATTCTAGTAATTGACATAAGTGGGCAGAAAGTTAAAAGAACTGAACAATACTTCTAACCAATTTGACCTAGTTGATAATTTACTGAACACATCACCTACCAAAATACTCATTCTTGTCAAGTATATATAAAACATTAAACAACATGTACCATATGGTGGGTTATAAAACACTTTTTTTTGGTGTTAGGGCTGGAACACAGGTCCTCAAGCAAGCTAAGCATGTACTCTGCTGAGCTATACCCAAAGCCCCATAAAACAAGTTTTGGTAAATTTAGAAGGATTAAAATCACCCAGTTTGTTGTTGAAATTAATAGCAAAAATATATATGGACAATCCCTAAATATTTGGAAATTAAACAACATATTAAGTGATCTATGGATCAATGAAAAAATCATAAAAGAAACTAGAAACCATTTGGAACTGGATGATAATTACAAAACAACATACCAAAATTTATAGGCAACAGTTAAAGTGGTGACTAAGCTTAAATGGCTATGATATGGGGAAGAAAGATCTAAAATCATCTAAGTTTTTACCTTAGAAAGTTAGAAAAAGAAGTTAAGTCCAAAGTAAATAAACGATAGAAATAATAAAAATAAGATTGAGGACTGAGGGTGGTCAGTGATAGAGTGCTTGCTTAGCATGTATGAGGCCATGGGTTAAATTCCCAGCACTAAAATAAATAAAAAAGCAAAAAAATCAATGAAATAAAAAATAAAAAAGTAAACAAAAATCAATAAAACTCCAAATTAATTCTTTTTAAAAATATATAAACTTATAAATCTCTAACCAGACTGACAATATAAAAAGGAGGGGTGGTACAAATTACTCATAAAAGGAATAAAGTAAAGCACATATGTACTTATTCTACAGATATTCAAAACACAGAGGGGAATATGACAAACAACTTTATCTCAATAAATATGTCAATTTAGACACAATTAAAAAAAWTTTTTTTAAACACAGACTGCAGACTGTAGCTCTGTGGTAGCATACACACGCTTAGCATGCTCAAGGGTCCTGGGTTCAATTCCCAGAACCAAAAAAATAAATAAACAAATAAAATTCAAGCAAGATTTTTTGCAGAAATTGATAAGATGATTCTAAAATTAATATGGAAATACAAAGGAGCAAGGATAGTCAAAACAGCTTTGAAAAACCACCACAAAAGGAAAAGATTTCTGGGCTGGGGTTGTAACTTTGTGGAAGAGAGCTTGCCTACTGTGTGTGAGGCACTGGGTTCGATTCTACAAATAAATAAAATAAAGGTGCATCCACAACTAAAAAAATATTTGAAAAACAAAAGGATTTCTATTATTAGATTATAAGACTCAGTAATCAACATAGCATAGTACTAGAGCAAGGGCAGACACATAATGTGCATGAAACAGAATTCAGAATTCAGAAACAGACTTTATATATGGTTAATTTTTTTTTTTTTTTTTTTGAAGTGGGTATTGAACCCAGGGTCGCTTAACCACTGAACTACATTTAATTTTGAGACAGGGTCTCGATAAGTTGCTGAGTGTGGGCTTTGAAATTGTGATCCTCCTCCCTCATTCTCSTAAGCAGCTGGGATCACAGGTGAGCACCACTGCAAAAGGCTAAAAGCATTCTTTAATAGTAAAGAGAAAGTCATTATTAATATCTCCAGTCTATTGCCACCACGCCCAGTTGGCTATCTTTTCTTTTTTCTTTTGGTACTAGGGATTGAATCCAGGGAACTTTACTACTGAGCAACATTCCCAGTTCTTTTTATTTATTTATTTGTTCGAGACAGGATCTCACTATGTTGCCCTCAAACTTTCAGTCCCTCTCCTCAGTCTCCTAAGTGGATTACAGGTGAGATTACAGGTGTGCACTGGGCTGGCTTTCTGCTTGGGTTCTTAGTCAATAGGATGCAGAAGCTGAAAAAGCTTAACTACAAATTTTAATCTTGTCATATTTCTTTCTTAGTCAAGTACTATTTATCAAACTGACTCTTTACAAAATTAAAAAAAAAAAAAACAACTACCCATAAAATTGAGAATAATTTTAAGAGTATTATTGGGTGCAAAAATCCTACAAAAATATTAATAAACGTTTTAAAATATGGTGCTGGAATTACAAAATGTTCAAAATGAAAGCATAAAATGGTAGTAATTTTCAGCAGTGAATGACAAATTGAGAAGGCATTAAAGAGCTAAAAAAAAATAAACAATACCTAGGATGTTGCGAATCAGAGATTGGTGATTGGTTTTGTCATTTAATAATCATGTTTACTCAGTTCACTTTATTGAAATGAATAATTTAGTAAACAGCTGTCAAATTTTAAGAGAGTGAGTTCCTCCTTGATTAGGTAATTGATTTAGCCCTGACAATGGAACACTGTGCAAATAGAGCCACAATAACCAGTTACATTATTCTTGAGAAAAGCATGTGTAGTTAGGGGAGGGAGGTTCAACTTCCTGAAATCATCCCAAACTCAGCAGGCAACAAAAATCTGGTTAATTGGTTCCTGATTTATTAGTAATATTCTTTTCATGGAAACAAGTTGCTCAACAGATCACAACGTACCAAAACCAGATCTGGCAGCTCAAATTTAGATTTAAAAGGCTGACAGGGTTTTCTTAAGATGTCAACCATGGCTGGGGTGGTAGCAAATAAATGCCTGTAGTCTCAGCTACTTGGGAGCTGAGAGGAGAGGATAACTTGAGCCCACCATTTAGGAACCTAGACAGTGAGACCCAGATGGGGTGGGGTGTGGGGTGGGGTGTGGGGTGTGGGGTGGCTTGAGATGCCAATCATTAAATAATTAAATAGTTTATTTAATGTACCAAGTAAAATTCAAATTATAGAGGTACTTATAGCTATGATTATTTACATTAATCAATTTTCTTACACTTAAACAGGAGAGTAAAACTTAAGTTATTGTTCAATAAAAGCATAATCTTTGACTTAACATAGATTATGTAAAAACTAATCAAATTTAGTTGAATCTTTAAATTGCTTTTTTGTCTCTCCTCTCGAGAATTCTTACTCCCAGGATTTAAGCAGATAAAAAGTCTCTTTTCAACAGGTTATAACGATAGTACAGCTTTAAAAAAAAAAAAGCATTAAAACAATTATGCTTTAATAGTTATTAAAAACTTAAAATATTACAATTATTTTAAGACTAATAATACAGTTTGAATTCATTTGCATTGAAATATCTTTTGTGTCCACTTGCCTACATTTAGTTTTCTCTAATATTAATCAAAACTAGCCAGGCGCGATGGCACACACCTGTAATTCCAGCGGCTGGGGAGGCTGAGAATGAAGAGTTCAAAGCCAGCCTCAGCGATGATAAGAATCTAAGCAGCTCAGTGAGACCCTGTCTCTAAAGAAAATACAAAATAGGGCCGGGGATGTGGCTCAGTGGTGGAATGCCCCAGAGCTCAATCCCGGTAATAAACAAACAAACTGAAGCAAATTTAATTTCCCAGCATTTGCCTCCAAGGGAAAACCTTTTCATCAAGATCCCAAAATGTTTATATGAAAAAGGATTATTGATAATTTTAAAGAACACACGAATCTGTCATCGTCAGGGAGCCAGGGAAACTCTGTCTTGTTTCGAAAAAAGTATAATAAACTGCCCGGTAAAGCTCAAAGGTCATCTTTTTTATTGTGCTCCGGGTGGTTCCCGGTTCTTAGTTTCTCTGCCACTCTCCCCGCCCCCGCGTCCCCCCACCCACCCCCTTTCCCGTGTACACTTTGGTAGCGTTCCTTCGGAGGAAAGGAAGCCTCAGTATTTTCAAACCTACTCTGGAGCCACCAAGAGTCCTATCTTCTTTCCCAGGGAGCAAGCACCTGGCAGCCACACGCGAGCGCGCACCTGGAGTGGGGGCGCCCCCCCCGCCCCACGGCCGCGGTGGGGATGGGGGATGGGAGCCTGTCCCTTGCCCCGCCCCCCAGGAGGTGACTCACTCCCGGCCCCCGCGGGCAGAGTCGAGCGGCCCYGGGAAGGGGCCGAGGGGCGGGGCCGCCAGGTGCCGCAAGTCTGCGCTCCACCCCGCCGCGTCCAGAGCGCTCACTCCTCAGGCGAGTTCGCACCTAAGTCCGGTCCACCGACGCGGATCCGCGCGCCCCAGGCCTCGCGCGCCCGGCTTTCTGAGCCCTAGTCCCTCCACCGAGTCGCGGGACGCCGCCGCACCCCTCTTCTCGACGCGCGCGCAATATGGCGCGCCCCCAGGTCCTAGCGTTCGGACTCCTGCTCTCAGCGGCGACGGCAGCGGTGGCCGCGGCTCAGAAAGGTGAGATGCGCACCTGGAGCGGAGTTGCGCAGTTGGGCCGAGCSGGGCCGGGCCCGCCGGGACCTGGCGGCTTTCGGCGCCGGAGTCGAGAATAACGAGGAAGGGACCGAGAGCCCACGCTTTGCCGCCTGAAGACCGGACKGCGCGGGCAGCGCGCGGGTCCCGGTCCTCCGCACCGTGGAGGCGGTGAGAAGGCGCCCGCCCACTCGCTGCGGACGGAGGGAGCAGCCGCCCTTTGCACTTGTCTCTAGAGAAAGCAGCCGGGTTGGGGCGAAGGGGCCGGCGGGGATCCGAGTGAGTAGGTTGGGTCGCTCCTAAGGCCTCAGTACCYGAACCTCAAGCTGGGGCGCGCCCACCTCCCCGGCCCCAGCCGACTTTGGATTTGAAACCAGTCGGGTCCGGTAGCGGAGCCTTTGTGGCCGCTGCTATTCCGCCCGCCTCCTCCCGAGGCACCTGCAGCGGGCCCCGGATGTGGGCCTCGGGCGGGGACAGGTAACTGAGAGCCRCTATGCACCTGCGCGCGGGAGACGAGCCTTCTGGGACTTGACCACCAAACGTGTTTTCCCTTTTCTAAAAATAATATGAGCATAAACCAAGTTTGTTGTAGGGAACGCAGAAATAAAGATAATTGCACAGGGTAAAAATCCCGTAATCCCACCACCTCGAAAATCCCATAATTAATAATTGGGTATATGTCTATATATCTAAAGGCCCCTCCTTTAGAYGTTGCTCTAAACACTGCCCTAAATCTAGACATGTAGGTTTATATCTCCCCACGCCCCTCATAGTATCCAGAGTTTTCCATTTCCTTTAGTCTTTAAAAGCAAGATTTAAATGGTGGGTGAACATTAGGATGGTCAGTATCCAAATGTTAGAATATAGTTTAGTTTGATTCCAGTTCTTCTTGCTCTGAAATAGCTTGGCTGTGGTTGTTTGATTTATCTGTAAGATAGTATCTAGAAGTAGGGAGAATTGGACAAAGCTCTTAAGTAATGTTTTTCTACCTTGAATCTTGAGCTGAATAGTTAATCTTAATTGCAACTTAAATGGGAAAATTAAAACCAATTGGAAACATGGGATATGAAGTGCTGATATAAAAATTATTTTATTTGTCATGTGTTTTAAATGTTTGCACTATCTTAACTAGACAGATAAAAGGATTGGATGGGCTAGATGTAGTATCACAGCACGGAGATCACAAACTGGAGACTGGCCTGGGCAATTTAGTAGATCCTGTCTCAAAATAAAAAGGGAGGATATAGCTTAGTTCTAGAGCATCCGTGGGTTCAAACCCCAATACTGTGCCAAGAGGAAATGGTGGAGGGGCCAATTTGAAGTTAAAATGAACTTTCCAGGTAGTCAAGGATAAAACAATTAAACTGACATCCCTACCTCAATGGGTGCTTAGTATCACTTTGAGAATGGGATACTAGGGTTTGATGTAGTTAGGAAACAAACAAAGATGCACCCACATTCAATCTAAAGTGTAATTTTTCCAAGATAGAAAATGTTCTAGCTGGGCTTGGTGGCACATGTCTATAATTCCAAGGACTCAGGAGGCTGAAGCAGGAGCATCACAAAGCCAATCTTGGCAATTTAGTGAGACCCTGTCTCAAAAAAAAGGAAAAAAAGGAAATGCTCTGAATGTTAAATATGTTTCTATCGAAGCAAGCATCCCTTAAGAAAATGGGGTAGAAGCCAGGTGTGGTGTTGCACACTGTAATCCCAGTGACTCTGGAGGCTGAGGCTGGAAAATCACAAGTTCAAGGCCAGCCTCAGCAATTTAATGAGAYCCTTAAATAATTTAGGGAGAATCTGTCTCAAAAAGGGGTAGGGATGTAGTTCAGTGTTAAATTGACCCTGAGTTTAAAAAAAAAAGGCAGTAACTGAAAGGCAGGGATTAACAGGATAGAAGAAGGGACAGAGCTGAAAATAAAAGTATAGCAAAGGCAGAGCTGATAATGACCTTTGGCGAGCTGTTTACCAGCATTGTGTAGCTCAGTGATAGAGTGTATGCTTGGAATCCTGGATTCAATCCCAAGCACTGCAAAAACAAAAATAAAAACAAAAAACAATTGTTTAAAAAATTGAAATGGGGATCCCAGGATGTACTCAGCGTTAGAGGGCTTGCATCGTGTGTGAAAGGCCTTGGGTTCTATCCTTAGTACTACAAAAAAGAAAAGAAAAAATTGAAATGAGATGGAGTACAGATTAGGCTATCTGTGTGTGTGTAATGTATACAAACTGTGTAGCAGGTGCCAGGCAGTTAGGAAGCACTTAAATTATAGCTGAAAAAACATTTAGGACCACTTTTTTTTTTTTTTTTTAAGAGAGTGAGAGAGGAGAGAGAGAGAGAGAATGAGAGAGAGAGAGAGGATTTTTAATATTTATTTTTTAGTTCTCGGCGGACACAACATCTTTTGTTGGTATGTGGTGCTGAGGATCGAACCCGGGCCGCACGCACGCCAGGCGAGCGCSCTACCGCTTGAGCCACATCCCCAGCCCTAGGACCACTTTTTAAGATTTTGTGTCCCTGTCACTTGGGCATTACTGTCGGAACATTTAGCAAGGACATCAGAGTTGATAGTTGGATTGGATGCTGAGRCTGGCTTTGAACTCATGATGCCCCTGCCTCAGCCTCCTGAGCCACGCTGGATCCACATTTTAAATTACATTTGTGGGACTGGGGTTGTGGCTCAGTGGTAGAATGCTCACCTAGCATGTCCAAGACCCTGGGTTCTATTCTCAGCACCACATAAAAATAAATAAGTAAAAGGTATCATGTCCAACCACAACTAAAAAAATAAAATTAAATTTAAAAAATTATATTTGTTTGTATATGTGTGTGTCTGTCTGTATGTATGTAATATTTATTTTTATTTTCTAGAATGTATCTGTGAAAACTATAAGCTCGCTACAGACTGCTATAAGAATGAAAATGATGAATGCCAGTGTACATCCATTGGTACAAAAAATACTGTCATTTGTTCCAAATGTGAGTAAAATACTTTTACTACTGCCTTTAAGCATATCTTTTTTTTTTTTTTTTTTTGGTCCCAGGTATTGAACTCAGGGGCACTCGGCCACTGAGCCACATCTCTAGCCCTATTTTTGTATTTTATTTAGAGACTGGGTCTCACTGTGTTCTTAGTGCCTTGCCATTGCTGAGGCTGACTTTAAACTCTCAATCCTCCTGTCTCAGCCTCCCAAGCTGCTGGGGTCACAGGTGTGCTCTTTAAGCTTATCTTGATAAGAGGTTTTTGTTTTTTTTTTTTTAATTGATATGCTTCAAATTGGAAAGGGTTTTATTGGCTCAAATCTGAATTGTTTTATTTTGTCATAATTATTCTACATCTGAAGCTTCTTATCTTCAGCAAGTAATTAAGTGTGGGAAAATGGAAATATGAAATAATCTTTGGCCTGGGAGTTTAGTGTTAGATTAAAAAGCGTTTTTTTCCCTGGGCATGTAAAACTATAGTTATTTTTCAATTTGACTTTCAACTTTCTTTTCAGTGGCATCCAAATGTTTGGTGATGAAGGCAGAAATGAATTCCTCAAAGTCTGGGAGAAGAGGGAAACCGGAAGGGGCGATCCAGAACAATGACGGGCTGTATGACCCTGACTGTGACGAGAAAGGGCTCTTTAAAGCCAAGCAGTGCAATGGCACTGCCACGTGCTGGTGTGTGAACACTGCTGGGGTCCGAAGAACTGACAAGGACACTGAAATTACCTGCTCYGAACGAGTGAGGACCTTGTAAGTGGAGCTGCCCATATTACTGGTTTTTTGCTTTTCAGATTTATTAAGTTTGTTTTTGTATGTAAATATGATTTCATGGTTTAGAATTCAAAATATAGGAAAGGGTGTATCCCTTTCCATCCCATCCCAGGCCCCCATTTACCCAGTGTACCTGCCTAGAACTGTGTCATCAGTTTATTCCATCACCTTCCAAAGAGAATATATGAATTTAATATGTAGACAAATATATATATATACATTTGTGTGTGTGTGTGTGTGTGTGTGTGTGTGTGTGTGTGTACACCAGGGATTGAACTCAGGGGTGCTTAACCACTAAGCCACATCCCCAGCCCTTTTGTTTTTTTATGTAAATGGTAGCATACTAGGCATAATTTTCCTTTCTTATTTTCACTTAACACTGTTCAGTATTTTAATGTTGGAATAGTGTTAAATGTATGTAACTTAAGCTATTTCCATATTTGCTCATTTATTGTGTTGTGAAAGTGAGATAGGAGGGCTGAGGCTCAGTGGTAGAAAGACCCTGGGTCTAATCCCCAGCACCAAAACAAAGATTGATGGRGAGTGATGGTTGTCTCCAGGATTATTTAATGGAAAGGAACAGAAACACACTCAAGCTGGCTTAAGCTAACAAAACTTTGTTAGAAGGAGCTGGAAACTGGAAAGGTGTCAAGCCCCAAATCCTGACTCTGTAGTTCTTTCTTGTGGAGACGCATGGTCAATTTTCTCTGGTTCTTTCAGTTCCCTTTTGTCTTTTTTTACTTGAGAAGGGCCCAATACAGCTAGCTTAGCCTTCACTTTCATGTGACTTTATATGTTGTAGCCAGAGGCCAGAGGGTCAATATGAGAAAGGGTGTTCCCTCTGGATTGGTTCTGTATGATGGATGTATGAGAATGAGGGAAAAAATTATGAGCATATTTACTTTCTGCAACAATCCTTGTTCTGTTAGCTCTCTTGTAATTCCACTTGAGAATTTTAGCATTTTTTTGTTTATTAGGAAAATAGTATAAAAGATTGAGTTATAGACCATTGTCACTGTCTTTTCACTTTACAGCTGGATCATGATTGAACTGAAACACAAAGCAAGGGAAAAACCTTACAATGTTCAAAGTTTGCAGACGTAAGTGCAATTACACGGATCCTATTTCCTTTCAGAATTGCTTCTCAAATCTTTYTATTCTGCACCATTAGAAAAACTAAATTTAAATGCCTTTTCTTACTTTCTTGAAATAATTTTTTGAAATAGATTTGCAATAATTGTGCCAGTATTTCCTCACCAGTTAACAATATGCCCCATTGTCTGTTAAGTGAATGCACTTTATATCTATCTGTGCATGTACAGGTATTTTTCCTAGAACTAYTTGAGAGCAAGTTGTAGGTGTCATGTCCCTTTCCCCTACTTGAATGTATTGTTTCTTAAGGGAAAAAAAAAAGGCGTTGTCATATATAACCACTGTATGATGATTAAAGTTAGGAAATTAACYGTAATCCCATATCATGCCAGTTTTCCCATTGATGTTCTTTGTAGCAAACTCCTCCACCTCATTACTGGGATTGAATCCCAGGGTGCTTTACCACTGAGTCATATTCCCAGTTTCTTTTATTTTTAAAAATTTTTTGAGACAAGGTCTTAGTAAGTTACTGGGGCTGGCCTTGAACTTGGAATCCTCCTGCCTTAACCTACCTGGTAACTGGGATTACAGGTGCYGCCACACTGGGCAGGGTTTACATTTTTGATATGAAAACTATACAAGTGATCTTGTGTCCTTTACAGTACTCACTTCAGAAGGTCCATAATGTTACCTAGTCCCTTCACTGGTAATGTTAATTGCTTAAAGTGATGTCTACCAGGTTTCTCCACTGGTAGAGTTAACATTTTCCCCTTTGTAATTAATAAACTGGGCAGATTCTTGGATACTGTGTGAATGTTTTCTTTTTCTATTCAGACTGGCTCTCAACAGTTTTGGTAACAATKAATGATGCAGCCTGAACCAATTATTATTATTATTACTTGCAAAGTATCATGAAATTTTTAGCACTTCGGGGCACAGTGGCTTGGGGCTGTAATCTCCGCGATTCAGGCGGCTCAGGCGGCTGAAAAATGAAGATCAGAAGTATGAGGCCTGCCTGGGCAACTTAGCAAGACCATGTCTCAAGAAATAAAAAGGATTAGAAATATATGTAACTCAATGGTAGAGCATCCCTGGATTCAATCCAGTAATAACCAAAATAATAATACCAAGAGTAAAAATAATAAAAAYTTTGAAATGATGACTGTAGACTTCAAGCCATCTGCTTRGTTAGAAAGCACARCTCCTTCTTCTTGCACAAAAGTTTTTAAAAACACAAATTTTTAATTATTTACAGTGCAATTCAAGAAATGATGACCACTCGGTATCTACTGGATCCAAAATTTATCACAAATATTCTGGTATGATTTTTTTTTTCTGATAAATGAGTTTTAACAGAAAGTTGGTGGGACATAAGGGCAGATGGTGTAGTAGTGGTAAATGCATTTGCGTAGCAACGTAAGTCCTGGATACTTAATGTGAAATTYCTGTTGATATTTACCTTCCGTAGCCTTTGAAAACCCAAGTTTTGCTGTCTTATTCCCTTGGATAATTTTTTCAATTATTAGTGATAAATTTACCTAGTAATGGAAAAGAWTATTTCTGCATGTAGATTACAGAAAACCAAACACTGAATATTCTATTGAATGTTGATATTTTCATATGCTTTTGATTACACTAATAATCTGTATTTTCTACTGTTTCCCTCAGTATGAGAATAATGTTATCACTATTGATCTGGTGCAAAATTCTTCTCAGAAAACTCAAAATGATGTGGACATAGCTGATGTGGCTTATTATTTTGAAAAAGATGTAAGTATAAACTTTATTCATGTGTTCAGAAATATAATGTGTGGGGCTGGGGTTGTGGCTCAATGGTAGAGCRTTTGCCTCACACGTGTGGGGTACTGGGTTCGATCCTCAGCACCACATAAAAAATATAAAAATAAAGATATTGTTTCTGTCTACAACTAAAAAATAATATTCTTAAAAAAGAAAGAAAATGCTTATTAAAAAAAAGAAATATAATGTGTATCATGCTTCAGTGGAGTCAAGATCTTTTATTACCTTTTTCTCCACATGTAGTTCAACCTTCTCTCTGATTCTTAGAATGAAGTTTGTTTTCCTTGTCATTCATATATTCCTTTCTTACTTGTTTGTATATTTGTATGTCTATCAAATTTTTCTGCCTAGATTATTTCATCTTCTTCCTCCTCTTCCTCTTTTTTTTTTTTTTTTTGTTATAGTGCTGAGATCAAACCCAAGTCCTTGAGCATGCCAGGAAAACAGTCGACCACTGAGCATACCTACTAGCCCTCTTCTCTCTCATACTTATTATTACCTCCCTAGTAGTTACTTTGGGTGTATATTCTCCCCTATTCAACTAATAATTTACATGGGCCAGAGTTTACATTTCTAAAAAWGCTATGTTAGTTGGTGTGATTGAAATGTTTTATTTACAAAAAGTTTTGTTTAAACTTTTATGATAATGAGATATTTCTGTTGAATCTGAGATTTTTTTTTTTTTAAATCCAGACTTGAGTGGGGTACAGAGATAGAAGGACAAATACATGAAATAAGATTGGTTATATGTTGATATTTTTTAATTTGGGTGTTAGCTTCATTATATGAATCTGATTTATATGTGTTTGAAATTTTCCTGTAATTTTTCAAAGATTTCAGTGGGTCAGATCATTGTTACTGAAACCATAAAGATTTTGGCAGCAGTTCTTTGGTACACAATTGGCATGTAATTTAATTATAAGTGGCTGAAATTGGTTTGCTTAGATGTTTTCGTTTTTCTCCTTTTTGTTATAGGTGAAAGGGGAATCCTTGTTCCGTACATCAAAAATAGACCTGAGAGTAGATGGGGAACAACTAGAACTGGATCCTGGTCAAACTTTAATTTATTATGTTGATGAAAAGGCCCCTGAATTTTCAATGCAGGGCCTAAAAGCTGGTATTATAGCTGTCATTGTGGTTGTGACAATAGCAGTTATTGCTGGTATTGTTGTCCTGGTAAGTACACAATAAGTAAAAAATTTCATTTAAGGATATAGCTTTTTTTTTTTTTTTTTATACTGGGGATTGAACCCAGGGGCACTTAACCACATCCCTAGCCCTTTATTTTTGCATTTTATTTAAAGTCCGGGTCTAACTGAGTTGCTTAGGGTCGCACTAAGTTGCTAAAGCTAGCTTTGAACTTGTAGTCCTCCTGCCTCAGCCTCCTGAGCTGCTGGTATTATTACAGGTGTGCATCGCTGTGCCCAGCAAGGATATATTCTTTTACTTACTTTTTTTGCTCCCAATATTGGGGATTAAACTCAGGACCACATGTATATGTTTAAGAATATATTCCTTTCTTTTTTTTTTTTTTCTAAGTACTAGAGATTGAACCCAGGGGTATTTTACCACTAAGTTGCTTAGGGTGTTGCTGAGTTGCTGAGTCTGGCCTTGAACTTCTGATCCTCCTGCCTCAACCTCCCAAATTGCTGGGATTACAGATGTGCACCATGTCATGGGTTTTCAAATATATTCTTAAAAGTTAAAGCTGAGGGTGTAGTTCATTAGGAGAGTGCTTGCCTTGCATCCATGGAACACAGGGTTTGATCTCCAGCATGGCAATAAAAGGGAAAAAAAGTTAATTAAAATAACTGCAGGGCTGGGGTTGTGGCTMAGTGATGGAGCACTTGCCTTGCGAGGCACTGGGTTCAATCCTCAGYACCACATAAAAATAAATAAATAAAGATATTGTGTCCACCTACRACTAAAAAAAAATATTTAAAAAAATAAAACAAAAAAATCTGCTGACTGGCCATAGTGCACACACCCATAATCCTAGCGTCTTGGAAGACTAAGGCAAGAGGATTGAGAGTTCAAAGCCGTCTTGGAAGACTAAGGCAAGAGGATTGAGAGTTCAAAGCCAGCCTCAGCAATTTAGTGAGGTTTAAAGCAACTTAGCAAGACCCTGTCTCAAAATAAAAAAGGGGATAGGGATGTGGCTCAGTGTTTAGATGCTCCTGGGTTTGATTCCCTGTTCAACAAACAAGTACCACATTCGTGTTCTAAAACATATTAAATAAAGCAAAATTTTTATCCACCCCCGCTAATTTTATAATTCTGTAGTGAATGAATGTCAAGCAGGGCGGTTCATCAGTAAATTTCATCAACACAACAGAATTCAGAAATAGATTTGAGGATATGTAGGAACCTATATATTTAAATTTTTGAAAAAWTTTTTTTCAGTTATAGATAGATACAATACTTTTGTTTTATTTATTTATTTTTATGTGGTGCTGAGGATTGAACCCACTGCCTCTCACATGCTAGGCAAGTGCTCTACCACTGAGCCACAACCGTAGCCCTRTATTTTTAATTCAGTAGAGTAACCCTGCTCCATGTCAATAAAACAAACGTTGAATTCCTATTTCACCCCACCAGGGCACAGGCCATGCCCAACTGTGTGTGACAAGTGTATGCAGAGCCTAGTAATGTAAAAGGAATGGGCAGAAAGATAAATTTCAAGAAAATTTAACTTAGAAAATGTTTCTATAACTTTGTGATAAGGAAAACCATCTAAGGCAAGAAATCTAAAATCCATAAAAGACTATATAAGTTAAACTTTATTTATTTATTTATTTATTTATTTGGTACCAGGAGTGTTAACTACTGAGTTAACCACATCCCCATCCTTATTTTTTGAGATAGGGTTTTTTAAGGTGCTTTGGACCTTGATAAGTTACTGAGGCTGGCTTTRAACTTGCCATCCTCTTGTCTCAGCCTCCTGATCTGCTAGGATTATAGGCGTATGCCACTGAACCTGGCTGAGCTGGAACTTTTGATCTTCCTGCCTCAGAATATCCTGAATATCTGGAATTCCAAGCATGTGTCAGCATGATTGACTCAAAATTAAATGTTTGTGACGTTTTATATGTCAAAAAATATTATAAAGTAAAAAGTGTGAAGCTGGGCCCCATGGTCACACCTATAATCCCAGGTACTTGGGAGGCTGAGGTTCCAGACTAGCCTGGGTAATGTAATGAGTTTCTATATTAAAAAAAAAATCAATGATAGACTGGGAAAAATATTTATGATTATTAAAAAATTGATATTATGCATAGTATGCAAAKAGATCCTACAAATTGATGAGGAAAAAAAGGGATGGCAACTGGTATGGATAGACAATTTATCCATAAATAAATTGTTGGCAAAGCCAACATGAAAGATTCATAGAAATCTATTCGTCCTGTAGAAATGAAATTACAAGTTGCAAAAAGGAAGCACAAAGTTTGTCTTGCAGTGCTGTTTGTAAGGCTGAATCTGGAAAATAACCTGAGAGTATATTAGCAGGAAGATGCATGAGTAAATAGCAGTATTCCATGCTATGTTSTGTTGTCAATGAGTTCAGTCTAGCTCTTTTGATCTGGAAGATCAAAAAATCTGTTCCAAGATGGAATTGATATAACAGCCCATATTTAGACCCTCAAACTTACATATATGTGTTTGTTTTAATATGGAAAAAGAAGAATGTACATCACACTCTTRAATTGCACTAAAAGATGATTCACTGTTTTCTCGATATATTTTTTGGTTCGTTTCAATGGTTGTGGTGCACWTTTTTTAGGTTAGTAGTCAATTTTTCACTTAAGAAACATGTTAATAGAGTTTGAAATTGTCGAGATGGGATTATGGTACATTAAAAGCACATACATCAATCTAGACTTTAATGTTTGAGTAGCAATACTAAAGTAGTAATCATTTATCTCCCTTTCAGGTTATTTCCAGAAGGAAGAAAACAACAAAGTATGAGAAGGCTGAGGTAAATGGACTGTCTATGTAATTTTAAAAAAACCCTGTTTAGTCTCTYATTCCTTAGTAGTAATTGTTCTTTCCTAGATACAGATGGATCTCATTTATACTGAAGGTCCTTAGGATCTTAGGGACAATCCTTAGGGTCTGAGAATGAACTCTTACGTCTTAATGTATGAGTTTCATGGCAGACCCCCTTATATTGAATTCTGCTTCACTAGTGTCAACATTTAAAGGAATCTTTTAGAGCCATATTCTAGTGGAGTCATATTAGAAAAGCTCCTTGTGGTTAATGATCTGATYTATTGTGTCTGTATCAATAGGTAATAATAATTTAAGATGAATTTAATTTATCATAGTAAATCTATTACATACTAACTAGTTGTCCACACCAGGGTGAAGTCAGTATCAGATTGTTAGTGTGTTGCAGTCACTTGGAATTGGATGTGAACACATTTGTCCTTGAATTCTATCAATAACATTTTCTGCATATTCACCAATTTTTGTATATTTGCATATTTATTTGTAGTTGTATAGGTGCCACTTACTAATATTTTATAAAATAACAAAAACAAATGTAAAAGAATATTGAAAAAAATCTTAATAAAACCAGAAAGTTCTAACATTTTCTTCCTGTTCTATAATAGATCATCTGGCTTATCTAATTGGCGATCATAGGCCCAGGGGACTGTCCCTCAACTGAATATTGACAGGCAAAATGATATAATATATAATTAAGAGCARTATAGACCTGGGTTTGGCCACTTACTAACTAGACAGTACAACTTCTTTAAACCTCCATGCTTTCTTATCTGAAAAATGGAAATAATAGTACAGACCTGCTATCATTGTTGTTTCAGTTCTACCCCTAATTAATAGTGAGATCTGGGACAGGTCACCTAATTCTGAACTCCAGTTTCCTGCTAGGCACGGTGGCTCTTGCCTGTAATCCCAGCAATTTGGGAGGCTGAGGCAGGATGATTACAAATTTGAGGCCAGCCTCAGCAATTTAATGACACCTTRACACACACACAAAAAAGGAAGGGGCTAGGAACATAGTTCAGTGGTAAAGTGCCCTGGGTTCAGTCCCCAGTACTGCTCTCCCAAAAAAGAACTTCAATTTTCCTCACTTATAAAATGAAAGATCAATAATAGAAAATGATGCTGAGTACAGTGGCACATGCCTGTAATCCCAGTGGTTTTGGAGGCTGAGGCAGAAGGATCTCCATTTCAAAGCCAGCCTCAGCAACAGCAAGGAACTAAGCAATTTAGTGAGATCCTGTCTCTAAATAAAAATAGAAAAAAGGGCTGGGGATGTGACTCAGTGGTCGAGTGCCCTGAGTTCAATCCCTGATACCCCCATCCCACTCCTACCCCCTGCAAAAAAATAATATGATTTGATTCTTCYTTGGTATAAAAATAGCATGCATTTAGTAAAAATCTTGTCTATTCTTAAAGGTCTAGTTTATTCTTTTCCTAGTTAACATTGGCCATTTTGATTCGAATAACAGCTTGGATAATGCCTATAATATGTTTCCTTGTAATATAACTTTCTCTTTTTTATTTACATAAATGAGTCATTCATTTAAAAACCTAAATGAATAGGTTTTTGAAAAACTATTTTACAATGAACAAAATTATTTTAAAATTTCTGTACTTTCCCCCTCTGTTTCAGATAAAGGAGATGGGTGAGATGCATAGAGAACTCAGTACATAACTACTGTAATGTGAAGATTAACCACAAGAAAGGAAGTTATCAAAAGAACTCAGATTAYGAACATATGAAGATGGAAAAAAAAGGAAGACCTTTGAGGGTTACTGTTTTGTTGGTTAACATATATTTGTAAAAATTAGCTTGTATTCACAATATAAGCAACTTGAAATTGGCATTATCAATCTTAAAATTTGACCAGTGTCTTACATGTACAAATCTAATAATATAAAACCAGGTACTTTGGCTGAATAGGTAAAATTATTTATGCTTAATATTGAAGAGTGTGCATTAAATATGCTTCCACAGTAGTGTTTGAATGATTTGTGATTGAAACTGCCTTTCTATTTACTTTGACACTTGTACATAAACTTTTTTTATGAATAAAACATTTTGAATTTCCTAACTTTGTTTGAATCAAATTTTCTAGCATTTACCTCTGATAAATAATTGCTGAGGATGTAGCTCAGTGGCAAAGTACATGCTTAGCATGCTCAAGGCCCTGGGTTCAATCCCCAGCACCAGTAACTAAAACAAAACAAAAATGCTCTGAGTGCTAATTACAAGTTAGAATTCTGCATAAATATTTACATGTGTAATATATAACACATGACAATATAGAACTTTTACATAGAAAAATAATTTTATTCAGAATGAATCTTAATGTTCTGTTTTTTGGTCTTGTGTGTTGAGGAAGAATTGATGGAGAATATTGTAAATTATTACTATGGTTGAGTTAGAGCAGTACTCAGTACACGCTGTATCAATCTATCTTTTTTTTTTTTTTTTCTGGTACCAGGGAGTGCCATATTCCTAGCCCTTTTTATTTTTTGAAATAGGAGSTCACTAAATTGCTTAGGGCCTTGCTAAATTGCTGAGGTTAGCTTTGAACTTTTGATCCTCCTGCCTCAGTCTCTGAGCTGCTGGTGTTACAGGCATGTGCCTCCGCTGCTTGGCCCCATTATCAATATCTTAACATAATAATAAACAATTATGGTTCAAATGCGGGCCTTCACATCAGTACTAGGAAAGGATCCTTTCCTTCTGCAGTGCCTCTCTAGTGCCCTCTGCTGACCAAGCTTCAGATCCACTTTCACAGAGCAGGCAAAAAATAAAAAGGGTGAATTTCATTCAGGCTTGCCCAAYTACCTGTAATCTAGGGACTCTGGAGGCTGAGGCAGGAGGATGGAAAATTCAAAGCCAGCCTCAGCAAGAGCAAGGTGCTAAGCAACTCATTGAGACCCTTTCTCTAGATAAAATACAAAGTYGGGCTGGGGTTGTAGCTCAGTGGTTGAATGCCTCTGAGTTCAATCCCTCATACTGCCCCCTCCACCCGCAAAAGGGGAAGTTTGAAAGGGGCAATAAATCACTAACTGGCACATTCTTCAACACATTGCTTTCTAGTCTGTCCTATTTCTTCTGAAGATATTCTTACTAAGGTTGACGCTGACTAATTAGCAATGAATATTCTCCAAGRTCTGTCACTGTGCTGAATGTTCACTGATTTCTTCTGGTTATTTTTCTCTTCCATTGACCATATCGATACTGATGTTCCCAGGATTTGTCCTTATTTCTGTCTTTCCTCCTAGAGGACTTCATCCATTCTCTCGACTTAGTTACCATCTGACTATATGATAACAGATGCACAATTCCCATTTCTGTTCATCTTAAATTTTAGACTGTTTCAATGATGTCACATCTTTCTCCATAAACCTATTTCATCTCTCCCTCTTTTTCCCTCCTTTTTTTGACTTAGATGCATGGAGGGTCTCATGCATCTTAGTCAAAGTGCTGTATCACTGAGCTACATCCTCAGCCCCACTTTATTTATTGTTTTCTCAAAATCAGTTAATGCCCACACCATGAACCAAGTCCAAAGTTCCTTTCCTTTTCACCTCCATTCTTCTAGTTGCCAGACCCTGTGATTCTCCCTCAGAAATGTTTTTTTCTAATGTCTTAAACATTTTCACTGATCTCTGCCACCAATTTATTGCATCTCTCCTGAACAATCTAGTGACCAGAAAATTATTTGCCTAAAGTTGTTTTTTCCCCCCAGTTCTGTATATAGAACCTCATGTATGCTAGGCAAGCATTTTATCACTCAGCTATATCCCTAGTCCCTTGCCAGTTATGTTTATAAATTCAGTTTTCCAAGTGAGATGGGGAATTATATGAAACTTAAGTAAGACACAATTATTTAACATAAGAGTTTATCATCAGCAGTTAATACATCTATATGGTTGAATAAACAGATACTGTTAAAACAACCTCTTATACAAAATGATTACAAGCACATATTCAATTCTAATTTGAAGCTGGTCTTCAAGCATGCCAAATCCTCAATGACATTTTGTAGGAAAAAATATCTGGAATCATCAGCTATCTTCTAAGTCTGGTTAAAGGTCATTGTCCTCTGTCAGGGCTAATAGCCTGCTGGACGAATTTTCTAGACTTTATGCCAGTTAAAGTCTTACCAGAAATGGTAATGACTTCCTCAACAGGAACCATAGGTAAAAAACTTAAAAAGTACCACACAACTTTACTGGGCCTGGTGCATGCCTGAAATCCAGCAACTCAGACGCCGAAGTAGGAGGATCCCAAGTTTGAGGTCAGTCTCAGCAAGTTAGCAAGACCCTGTCTCAAAATTAGAAAAACAAGAACTGGGGCACAGTGGTGCATACTCGTAATCCCAGTAGCTTGGGAGGCTGAGACAGGAGGATAACAAGATCAAACCCAGCCTCAGCAAAAAGCAAAGCTCTAAGCAACTCAGTGAGACTCTGTCTCTAAATAAGATACAAAATAGGGTTGGGGATGTGGTTCAGTGGTCAAGTGTCCCTGAGTTCAACCCCCAGTACTGCCCCCCACCCCAGCAAAAAAAAAAAAAATGGGGATGTTGCTCAGTGGTTAAGGCTCACTGGGTTAAATCTTAGGTACCAAAAACAAACAAGCAAACAAAAACAACTTAGGAGACGGAAACAGGAGGATCACAAGTTCATGTGCAGCCTGGACAACTTAGCAAAACCCTGTTTCAAAAAATACAAAGAGGCTGGAGATATAGGTCAGTTGGGAGAGTGCTTGCCTTGCATGCACAGGACCTGAGTTCAATCCCCAGCAGCATCAAAAAAAAAAAAAAAAATAGGGAGCCTGGTGCAGTGGCTCTGGAGGCTGAGGCAGGAGGATCATGAATTCAAAGCCAGCCTCAGCAACAGGGATATGTTAAGTAACTCAGTGAAACCTAGGCTCTAAATAAAATACAAAAAGGCTGGGGATGTGTTTCACCGGTTAAGCACCCCTGGTTTTAATCCCTGGTACCAAAAAAAAAAAAAAAAAAAAAGGGCTGGGGATGTAGCTCTTTGATAAAACACACCTGGCCTGAGTTCAAACCTCAATACCACAAAACAAAACAACAACCCCCAAATCAGTAGATGTTGATAAAATGTCTGCCACTATACTTATTATTTTCTGTACTGGTGATTGAACTCAGGGGCACTCAACCACTGAGTTGCTAAGCACTTCACCGTTGCTGAGGCTGGYTATGAACTTGTGATCCTCCTGTCTCAGCCTCCTGAGCCGCTGGGATTACAGGTATGTGCCACCATACCTGGTACCAATATTATTAACTGTGAATAAACATACATAAGTATCATCCCTGTCCTTTTCAGGTGTACAGTAAGAAAGGCAAATATATTCCTAAAACAACATGGTAAATATTGTAATAAAATCTATGAATTAAGTGGGACGTTGGAGGAAAATGCAAATAATTACACTTGTGGAAGCTGAGCAGGCTTTCCTAAGATGTCTGAGTTGAGGACAAGAGGAAAATCCAAAGTGGGCAATACAATGGACTGGGGAGGGCGAAGTGTGTGAGGAACTCACAAGGTGCAAAGGAAAGGAAGTTCTTGGGCGCAGATCAGAGTTAGGGAAAGAAGAGGGGAATGTTGTTGCCAAGTTAGCCACGTTGCTGGGAAGGTCACATGCAGTCCAAACTTTCTTCAATTATCCAAAGCATTTGAATTTTAACCTGTAGGCCATTTGTTTCTGAATTGAACTGATTGTCAGGAATACTCAAGAAGCTGATTTATTTTTGTTTTTATACTTAGGGGATAGAATCCAGGGGGCTTTACCCCTGAGTTACATCCCCAGCCCTTTAAAAAATAATAATAATAATTTTTGAGACATTATCTCACTAAGTTTCCCATGCTGGCCTTGAACTTGGGATTTTCTTTCCTACTAGAAATTCTAAACCTCCTAGAATTGCAGGGAGTATAGGCATTCACCATCACTCCTCCAGACCACAGAAACTTTTTTAAAAAGACTGAAAGGCCCTTTCTCCAGACATTACAACTCATTATAGGTGAGTGGGACTCAGATATGTGTTTGAAAAGCTCCTAGGGTGATTTTGCTGCAGAATATTTTGGGGCCCCTTCTTTGGGGGAAGAGTGACCACTTAAGAGTGCGATACCTGTAAGTATGGCCTTAGGCCTTAGCCTGAGCAATTCCATTTTAAAACTCCATTTTAAAATAAACCTTCAGTCTCACTAGGCAAGCCTACAAAGCTCTCCAATATGTCAACAGGTATAGCCTGATAAAAGCAAGTCACTTTTCACAACCCTGGTAAGAGTCAGGATGAAGTCACATGTCATTTGTTGTAACCCTGGTAAGAGTCAAAAGTGTAATATCAGGGCAGAAATCACCAAACCATATGTCCTGACTCTAAATGCAAGATATCACTAAGAAACCTGGTGAGGGCTGGGGATGTGGCTCAAGCTGTAGCGCGCTTGCCTGGCATGCGAGGGTCACTGGGCTCTATCCTCAGCACCACATAAAAACAAAATAAAGATGTTGTGTCCACCGAAAACTAAAAATAAATAAATAAATATTTAAAAATTCTAAAAAAAAAAAAAAAAAAAAGAGACCTGGTGATAGGGACCCAAAGGGCGACCAGGAGCTCCCAAAATTTAGTATAAATGATGGAACAAATGAACAGACTCTGGAGCCAGCTGACA